GAAGGCATATCAGAATTTCAATTTCGTCTCTTGTCCTCCAGCATCAACTTGTATTTTTTTATGAACGCCGTATTTGATTTTTTTGCACAGATCAATACAATTTTGAATTCTCATTTCAAAAATGTAATACGTTGTACATTGACATTGTTAAACCTTAGTTATTCCAAAAAAAGTAGAATTTCCTAGGTAGGCCTTGAGATTATCAGATAGTCATTTGTTTTGCATACCAGATTCATCCCAAAATCACTTTTATGTTTTCCTGAATTTATTTCAATAATAGAGCATTCATTTAGCATAAGAGCTACGTATAAGTACACGTTTGCCTTATTACAATAATATATACGTAAATAGAAAAAAATCATTGTGCTTTTATATGCGAAAATTGAATAAAAAGTGTAATACTTCACAAAACAAGAAGAATCGAAAATAAATCTACAAAGCCTAATTTAAAAATAGTACTACGAATACAGATACAAATACAAGGGGTACTGATAATTTTAGATTAAAAACTAGACAGAGATAAAACTTAACGTATCAAAATGTAAAAAAAACAAAACAAAACAGGTATAAATACACCTACTTTGTTTTTTCATATGGACGCTATATTCTAATTTTGAACATTTAAATGGACTTTTCCTTAGTTGGCCATGAGTTGTTCCATGAAAATTATAAAAAAAAGGTATGGTGAAACCTGAACACAAAATGAAAATTTCTTTGATGGTAATAACAGTAATAATCATAAATAAACTTTTGTTTATCAGAATACATCTATTTCTAAAGGATTTATTTTTTTCAGAACGGCAAGACGAGGACAAAATGAACAAAATGGCGGGAACATCGCCGAGGAAAGGTAACGTGTATATAGAAGAAACGAATTCCAAAACATAGTGGAAAATATGGACTAGCAAATGCGCATCAAAACTCATTTTTATGTAATTTTTGTACCTGGTTATCTTACGTGTTTCTAAGTACCTAGTACTTTTTTATAACGAACAATCATTTTGCCTTATTCACGGAATCATCAACTTTTGTACATTTCTTTATAATCCTAACGTCAGTTTCCATTTAAATATACATTAATCGGTAAATATTATGAACTGAAATTTTGAAATAGATTAAAATTTATTTTGAAGGATAGCAATTTTAATTTTTTTTGTATCTAATGTAGTTGGCTTTGTAATCGGGCAAAATGTTTGGGCGTTTTCAGATTGCTTTATTTTGTAGTTGTGTAGATAAAAACAATGGTTTGTAAATTATTTTGGGGCAAACGGGGAAACGTAGATTGTAGATGAAAGTAATTCCTGAATGACTCATAGAATCTGACACGGCACAATAATAATTACAAGTCTTATACTCGTAAAAATGGCATATTCTCACTGGTTAAGAGAAAACTGTACATTGTCTGCGTGGTTGCCACTTATTCGATTTTCCCTAAATTAGGGAAATTTCGGTCTGTTCATTTTTGTGTACGTGCGATAACATATGACGTGGACCATGGATTAATTCAATACAAAAATACCTTTGCATATTGTAAACAACATTTTCCAGAATAGCATAAACGAATTTCTATACTGACTAGGATAAATCGGGACTCAACCTGCTCTTGTAACTTGTACTCTTTGTCGTTGGCCGCTTTCTATTTTCAAACAATATGGGAACTCCCATGTCGAATCATATGAAGTTCACTCATTTATCTAGAATTGATATTAAAAGTGATGTTTCATATGAAGTGGAAACTTTGTTTAGAAAAATTTGTTAGATGTTTTTAACGATTTTTTTCTTTTCATTTCGCGACATGTTTTCAGCAGCTGAAGAAAACATTACTTGACCGCTTGATTTTATAGAAACTTTTGAAAATGTTTGTCCCGCATAGGCGTGAAAGCATTTTCTGAAATAAATATATTTCTTGTTTGTCTATATTTCTATATTTAATACCTTTTCTTGTTCATTAACAATTTAATTTCACTGTTCTTTTTGAATGCCACGCATCTTTTTGTAAAAAAATAACTTTTTCTGTAACTTTTGCGCTTGTGTTTTACATATACAGTATTAAGTGTAAATAGCTAAGTTTGTGTATATATAATAATAGATTCAGAATCAGCAAATTTGAAGTCATACACCATCCAAAACACACTAAGTATTTATAGCTCATATATTTAAAAAGCATTTCAATGTAAAAGAGCAACAACAATTAAATAGATATTTACGATGCTTATACAATGTAGGTTTACATATTCAAGTTTTCCGAATCTTCATCCTTTAAACTTGTTTTTCAGGTTCATAAAGTCAATTTCCAGTTTTTAGCAATTCCATCACTCAAAATTCAATGGTTTTCTTTGTACACTGTTTCTGAAACCCAATAAAAATATAAATAGATTCCCAACAATTTATAAAAGTCAGAGGTATTTGATTAAGATTCTTTATGACTCATACCGACATATTTTATGACAGAAACATGGTTACAATTTATGAATGGCATCAATCTTTGATCTTTATTAATACACCAATAAACTGGAAAATGTAAACCTGCCTAGGATTTTTGCACAGCATCCTTTGTAGTTATTTACGTGCGATCATTTGGAACAGCTAAAGCTCTCTGATGATTACCTTTATGTATTTTATTGTTTTGTAGATAATGATGCTCGTTTGTATTTATTGACATGTACAGGGTGATCGAAATTAGAACAAGGAATGCATACATAAATATAGTGATGCCAAAAATTGTTTCGTTTTGTTAATATCAGGAAAATATTTATTTTATTTATAAATTGATGGCAGTGAATTTTTTTAATCAGTCTTTGACTTGTACGTTAGTAAATCCTCAACTCATCATCTGTGAATTTATTTGGCGTTCTGTATTTTACACATTACATTAATGACTATTAAAATCGCATATCTAAAAAGGCATATCCCCATCACTAGACGGCATACGTTGCATTTCTAAAATTTGATCGCCCTATAAAACATATATAGATGTAAATTATTGCCAATAAAACGTTATTTATTTTAAACCACAGTGTCTTATTTATAGCGCAGAATTTTAGCAGACGACTGAAACATTCCAAGTCAGACATAGAGGACCCAGAAGCGGAACATGTGTGGTATTCAGAAGTATAATTCAAAAACCAATCATCGAAATAGTATGTTATATCAATATTCTTCTTATAAAAGGGTCTATCTGATTTGAGCAATAAAGTTTGGAAGATTATTTAGGAAATGGTGAAACACTGACAGTTTTTTAATTGCGTATCCCATATTTTACTTCATATTCTTATAGTTCATTGTTTCTCAAAGTCGGCGTTGGCGACCTACGCGGGGGGGGGGGAGGCTAAGGGAAATTGAGAGATGAATTGATTTTGGGGGGCGATGCATTGGAAATTGACATCGGATTTGGAATCACAGCGTGCTGTTAATAATATTTTTATCTTACTTAAATATTGCTTACTTTAAACAAATATTTAATAAATATTTGAAATATAATATTTTTTATATTTACTCAATATTTTTTAACTATTTCAAATACAATATTTCTTTTATAATAATGGCAAGCCGACCTGAGCCGACCCGTCTGTCGGCATCCATTTTGCCTGTGAGTTTCACTATGATAGCGTGCTTCCAGTGTACCTCCAAGTGGTACATGATTTGAGTGTTTTTTTGTGGAAAAGGGTAAGTTTTTCAATTATTACATAGCTTATATAAAGGTATTTACAAGACCATAAATAACTAACCTTGAAGTGTAGCAGTTATTTGCGATTTGGGATTGGTGGATTTATCTGAAAATGGATATGTTAACCATCCCACTGAAAAGTCATATATATAATCGCAACTTTATCGAGATACATCAAAAATGCTTCTCTTAAATGCCTCAATTATTATTATTCTTTTTGTCGTAGTAGGGTGCAAATCAGCTGTAACTATTTTAAATTTTTTAAGTTCAACATCGACGTTCCAAAATCTTAACAGTCGAAAATACTTTATTTTTGTCCCTTGAATTATAACATAAAATCACAAAATAGTTATATCCATGGACATTTTTCATCAAAAAATCTAAAATGACACGAAATTTTCTTAAAAATTAACCAAATCTCGAACTCTCATTAGAAGAAAATGTGGGTCCTTTTAGGTCCATTACAGAGCTACTTTTCAGTGACCGAGTTGAGCTACTCGGAGTAACTCAGCACCAATATTGTTCCACTGCATTTTATATTACTATAAATACACTTCCGAAAGTAATTTTGGAGAGAGAGAGAGAATAAATGTATTTGCAAGGTGCAGAAGAGGCCTAGAATGTTTTTTAATGATATTTTTATAGCAAATTAAACCATTATATCTAGAATGAATTTTCTTTATAAGCCCAATTTTATAAGAGCATTCCTACGATTTTGCTAGAATAACCAATGAAGAATTTTTTATTTCCACTGAAAATATGGATCAGATTGATGCCTGTAAATCCATACATATTTACGAAAAATATTAGATATTTCATCAAAATATAAAATTGATATTTAAAAATCTTTCCTCATATATTTCTGAATATTTGGAAAAAATACCGCAAAAATATATTAATTATAGATACTTCAAATATCTATAAAGGATATTTTATGAATATATAAGAAATATATTTATTGAATAGTAAAAAATCTGTCGCTACAAATATTTAACAAACATTTTTTTTAAATATTTAATAAATATATAACGCTATCGGGGCCAGGCAAAGAGTTTTCCCCCGGACCACGGATCACAGACATGAAGGATTTTTGGTTGGGCTAACATTCATGACATCCACGCTTGATCCTGTTGGTAACGTAATCCCTAAACATCGTTACTGAAAAATGCGTTAAATGCCAAATGAACGCTAAAATGTTTAAAAAGGTATTCGAGACCCTAATACTATTTGAGCAACCCTCGTATATACGTGTAATAAGTGGCTCTATCTGTGAACGTGCTATTATACTAAATTTGATTACTCATTTGATCACAGCAGCGTTTTGTAATGAGATGAATGATATATTAAAGCAGTTTGGCATCTGATTGGTAGAGGGCGCGCAAGGGATTTTGTGGTTATGTTTGTATGACTGATAATGTCAAATTATCAAACTGTTTAGTGATTTGATTGTTGATTTTCTACAATAAACAATAAACTAATGATATACAAACTGAGAACTAGAAAAGGATATTCAAGCAAAACTTAAAAAAATGGAAAAAGAAATGGTTTAAGATGAGATTATACACGATCTTGCAATTGGGCGTTCTGTTGTCCATAATTCTTCTCATCTTTTATTTGTATACTGTGAAAACAATAAACAATTCTGTTGGTTTAGAAGAGGAACTTGAAGAACAGGAGCCCATTAGCAATGAAGTCGTTACAGAAAATATTTATTTTACAAGGTATGAGTTCGAGTTTCTATGATAAGCATTACTTGGCTTCATAAACCCCCTTAATGGTCTTCAATATAAAAATGTTTTTTTTTTATATTTCATAGGAATGATATTGTCGTGGCAGTTGTTGCATGTGGAGATAGACTTCATGAAACTCTCAACATGCTCAAATCTGCCCTGATGTTTAGTCAAGTGAAGCTGAATTTTATAGTTGTCGCTGAGGATAGGCTCATTGATAGCTTCAATGAAAAGGTAAACAACATCAACTGATTGCTGATATTTGAGTACTCGTACATTGTTATGTTTTGCAGCTTGGCGAATGGAAAATTTTCCTGAATGGAGGATTCACATACCATGTTTTGCCATTGACTTTTCCTACAGACAATCCATTAGAATGGAAAAACCTTTTCAAGCCATGTGCAGCCCAAAGATTATTTTTACCTGTATGTTAATTTCTTATTCCAAGTAATGATTGGGGACCTTTAAATGGGCAACATTTTCTGCATTAACTTGCAGCAATAGTGTAACCAATAAATAAATCTCCATGCTGCTCTGGTCGAATTAAAACATATAACATGTTGAAATTACTTTTTACTGACTTTTCAGCCACTTGACCTTGACCTTTTTCAATGCAGTTGGGGTTCTATCAGCAAAAAAAAAAACAATAGGTTGAGCTTTAGATGTTGTCATAGCTATAGCCAAATACTGCAACAAAAAATTGCTCATTTAGAGTCTCTATGATATTGGAAGCAGTCCTCAGGTGAATGTCACACAATTAGTATTTACTGTGTTCAATTACATATTGAATGTGACATTTGTTGACTGTGTAAATAGGACAGTAATTATTTATATACAGGGTGACGGGATAATAGATAGTACAAGCCAATCCGAGTCGATTTTACTATAGGAACTACTGTCCGAAAATTAGCCGTTTTCGAATTATACTAATTTTTAAGATTATATAAAATTAACGTCCTTTATACGTTAACCAAGTCATAAAACTTGAAAATTGGGTGTTTCAATTTGATTTTTTTTTGTTTTACAATTAAAATATTCTAAAATACGAAAATTGATACTCAAATGTTCATTATTGACGTTATCTCATGCAGTAAGCTTCAAAATAGTTCAATATTTGTTAAAAAATCTTCGTTTATCGCAAAAGCTTCAGTTTACTAGAAAAAGTCGCATACAAATTTTTCGTACAAAATAATTAGAAAACATCTACGTTTCATTACCTTTCAAATGAGGTATAAAAATCACAAATCCATTAAAAATTGGCAAAAATATGACTATTATAAGAGGAGGAAGAAAAAGGCAATAAAAACACTACACTTACAAAATCATACCTTAATACAGGATAATTTGTTTGAAACTACATTTTTTTATTTTTATAATACATTTTCAAAATGGCGTCCTCTATTTCTAATGCACACACGTCCTCTTCTTATGACAACTGATTTTACTACCGCCGAATTCCTAAGAGAGGCTTGACCTTCTTGTGCTGCTTGTATTATCCTGTTTCTGAGGTCTTCTACTGTGGGTACAGGATTTTGATCAGAGTATACTAAAGTTTTCATGCGACCGCACACAAAAAAGTCGCTAGGTGTGAGATCGGGACTGCGTGCTGGCCATGGGATTGGTCCGCCTTTACCGATCCATCGATTCGGAAACTGCTCATTTAACCAATTTATAACACTTAGTCTGAAATGTGCTGGGCACCCGTCATGCTGAAAAATCATTGTGTCTTGTGTATAGCGGCACGTCTTCAAGTAATTCAAATACAACATTTCTTAAGAAATTTTCGTAGGCTTCTCCATATGTTGTCGGGTAGGATAATGTGGTCCTACCAAACAGTTATTTATTATAATTCCCATCCAGACATTCAGACAAAATCGCCTTTGAGATAATAATAATATTTATTACCCATCAGAAATGTATAAAACATGTATAGGGTTCGTCAACAAACAATCCACAGTATGTATACACATAAAAAACAGTAAAATGACAAGCAATACAATAGCTTAAATTAAATATTTTAAAATGGACACCATAGGCTAACACCAGCAGATAAAATAGATTAGCTTTCCAGCAGTTAAAATTAATAAATTAACAGAAATACAATATAAAAATATATAAAAGGACAAACAATAAGTGGATATCAAACAATACAAAAAAAGAACATCTAAATATTCACAAAGTCACTGATGGCGTAACAAATCTTATTAATAAAATAGGTTCTTAACTCAGCTTTAAAATTATTTAAGGAGCTAATTGTAATTGATCCTTTTGGTCTCTTCATATAAGGATTTCCTACAGCACGTTCACGCCAATAGTGAGCGTTATGTTACTTTGTTATGCCGTCTTTATCAAATTTTGATTCGTCGGTCCATAGAATTTTTCTTAAATAATCAGCGTTTAAAATAAAACGACAAAATTGCATGCGCCTCATGGGATCTCCTTCCTCTATGACGTGCACAGGTGTGTAGTGGTAAGGGTGGAATATGTTTTCATGCAAAACATACCACACTTGCCATTGAGATAATCCAAGCCGTCGAGCCACAGCGCGAGTAGAGGGAGTAGGGTCTCTGGAAAATACTTAATATGTCTTCTTCTTCTTCCACATCATGTCGAGGTCTACCTGCATCACCTGAAATAAAATGAAAAAACAAATAACAACAGTTTTTTGGAGGAAATTGTTACCTAATAAACATGAGCTAGAGTTGGCAAAATATTATTTAGAAAAAATGATACACAACGTCTGGATGTTTCCAACTTCAGAGCTGTGTAGATGCACGTGTTAAAATTAAATGAATTAACTCGTAATTAAGAAGTTCAATCAACTGTATCAAAACAACTATGTTACAGTATCATCAGTACAGCCCACAGACCTCCAAGACTCTACATAGGCCTTACTTAATATTTATAAATGATGCAAACTTACCTTGATATCTTACGACGGTACCGCGCTCTTGAACCCGACGGAACGTTTGCCTAAATACGCGGGCGTCAGGTAGGCGACGATTGAGAAACATTTCCCCATACTCGCGACGAGCTTCTTCAGCATTGCCTCTGGGATCTCCATAGTAGAAAAGGATATCGGCTTATTCTTCGAAACTGAACTGCCGCCTCCTTTGTTCATCGGTAGCGGTAGGTAGATCAACGAACAATCAAGTCACACAGCAGCCAAGTCGTAAGGAATCACAGAAAACAGGGTACAGTCTAGGTCATCAGGAAAAGAATTACACACGGAAGTCCAACAAGAGCCAAGTCGTTAGAAATATCAAAACAGCGAGCAAACAAACACATCCGAACGCAACAAATCGCAAGAGCAGATTGAAGCGAGGGTGGGAGAGGGGTGACTAGTCTTACGTATCACACTATTCCGGTGGCAAAGACTGATGTTCGCGGCTCTACTTACTGTTTCTTTCACTCATACCTTTGTCATTTCTAAACAGGTTTGTGACTTTGATACCTCATTTGGAAGGTAATGAATCGTAGATATTTTAAAATTGTTTTGCACGAAAAATTTGTAGGTGATTGTTTCTAGTAAATTGAGTTTTTGAAATGAACGAAGATTTTTTTAACAAAAATTGAACTATTTTGAAGCTTACTGCATGAGATGACGTCAATAATGTACATTTGAGTATCAATTTTCGTATTTTAGATTATTTTTATTGTAAATCCAAAAAAATAAAATGAAACACCCAATTTCCAAGTTTTATGACTCGGTTAACATATAGAATCTTAAAAATTAGTATAATTCCAAAACGGCTAATTTTCGGACAGTAGTTCCTATAGTAAAATCGACTCAGATTGGCTTGTACTATCTCCTCCCACCGGCTCCGCATCTATTTTCCAGTCACTCTGTATACTGATTGACTAGCACAATTTTCAGCAAATACTAATAGTACAAACCACAGTAAATACTGGTTGTGTAAGGTTCACCTAATACTTTTACTGGAATAGTTTACATTTATTTCAGAATATCCTAAAGGATGTGGACTCTATTTTATACATGGATTCAGACACATTGTTTTTAACTCCTGTAGAATCAGTCTGGAATCATTTCCACAAATTCAATGCAACACAAATGGCTGCTTTGGTGCCAGAACATGAAGATCCTAATGTTGGATGGTACAATAGATTTGCTAAACATCCATATTATGGAAAACTAGGTGAGAAAATTATACCTTTTTGTATTTGTTGAAAATAATTAATTCGGATATCTCTTAGGTGTAAACTCAGGAGTTATGCTCATGAATCTGACAAGAATGAGAGCCTTCCAATGGAAAGAATATGTAGTTCCTATTTATAAAAAATACAAACTGAAAATAACTTGGGGTGACCAAGACATAATAAACATTATTTTTCACTACCATCCAGGTAAATTATATTGGCAAAAACAGAATAATTGCTTATAATCATGTTGCTTTTCAGACAAGTTATACATTTATTCTTGCCGTTTCAACTACCGTCCGGATCACTGTATGTATACAAGTGTCTGCAAACAAGCAGAGAAAGAGGGTGTGGCTGTGATTCATGGTTCCAGAGGCTTCTTCCATTCAGAAAAGCAGCCGGTTTTTCAAGCTGTTTATCGATCATTCGAGGAGGTAAAATTAAGGTTTTTAGCTTAATTTCAATCCAGTGAAAAATTTGTAAATCTGGCGACGCTGTAGCTGCAATTCGCCATCTATCCGCGTAACTTTGAAACAGTGATACGTAACTTCTGTTGTTATCGTATAGATGTCGCACACGCACGTATGTTTAATTCTAACCTCAAATTCGTGATGAAATTCGAAGGGAAGGAAATTTTTGTTTGAAAAAATGTCTTTGGAGAGACCAGCTTAACTTATTCAAATCATGACCAGTACTTCGGCTTCAGCGGTGAACCTGAAAGATTTCGCTGTATTCCCGATTTTTATCAAAGATTTGCATAATGCAGTTGGTGTAAATAGAAAGTATTTTTTTAAAGATTGTGTTTTCAAACAAGTTCAAATCCATGGTATAGTTCTGGGTTCATTCATGACAAAACATCGACAGTTTTTCACTATAAATGACGGTACAGGCAATATCCAATGTGCCTTTGATAATATCCAAGAAAGTACTGTGCACAGCATAAACATTGAGACATCGGTTCCATATCAAAGTGCTCTGAAAATGATAAACCGCGAAACTGAAAGATTGAAACGTACATCAATTCTATCTCCAAACGATATGAATATCAAGGATTGTGTTACCGTGATAGGAAAAATTTCAGATTACAATGATAGAAAGTATATTTTTATGACAAAGATTAAAAGGGAATCACTTGAAGATCACGTAATGAATATGAAGAGGCTCAATGATTTCATTAAAGAAATGTTTTGAGTAAATTTGTATGTGCGATGTATTCTGAAAATGCCTGGAAAGCATATGAGGTATTATGAATGACTGTTTAAATTCATTTTCTGTCTGGTAAGTTTCTTACATCATATAATACGAATAAGAGCATTTATTGCTCAACAGGTACAGAGCAATACATTCTTAGCAGCACAGGTTAATGTGCACACATTACTGATACTTTTGATTCAACATTAGATTTGTCTTAGCAGCAATAGAATAAAATGTTAATGATTGTCTAGAGTTAAACTGAGGTACATTAAATTTGATACTCCATAAAAGATCTGGACAATCAATAACATTACAGTTCATTTATGAAGGAATGAAACGGATGGCAGGATCTGTTTGAGCTCCACACTGTCAATGTCAAAAAGGTTTAACAGAAGATTATACTCAGTTCCATGTTCTGGATATATAAGGTTTTCCAATAGGGACTTTACATCTTTCACTGTGAACGCACCTTTAAATCAATTACCGAACTGTCACTGTCAAAACATTCATCAAACAAAGCATTTTCATCATGGCGAAATACACGAACGAACAACGCTTACAAATAATTAAAATTTACTACTGAAATTCCGAGTCGATGAGTGTAATTAACGCCAATTTTTGGTCGTAATTAATTAATAATTAATTTAATTAATAATAAATTAGACATCGCCCCGGCCACACCATGACGAATTTTGTCAAGAATCTTGGCCTGCACCCTTATAAGATCAAGTTAACTCAAGAACTAAAGCCGTTCGATCACATGAACCAACGTACGTACTCGAATTGTGCTCTAGAAATTTTGCAAGAAAATGACCAATTTCATCGCAAAATCATCTTCAGTGATGAGGCGCGCATTTTTGGCTAAACGACTTCTTCAACAAACAGAACATGCGTTATTGGTCATGTGAAAACCCTCATTTGCTTCAAGAATCACCACTTCATCCACAAAAAATAACTGTATGGTGTGGTTTTCATGCGGGTGGTGTCATTGGGCCTTTTTTTTTTTTCGTTGATGAAAATGACCATCACGTTACAGTCAACGGAGCTCGCTACATGTTGCAAGACGGTAACACAAGCCACACAGCGGGTGAAACGATCGACATATTGAAATCAATATTCGGTGAACTTGTTATATCGAAAGATGGTCCTGTCGAATGGCCGCCTAGATCGTCTTATTTAACACCTCTAGACTTTTTTGTGGGACTACTTTAAATCATTGGGTTCAACAAATCGATCGCTGCGAACGTGCCCGTGGTGGACATATGAACGAGTTCGAATTCTATACATAAATGTTTTGAGTATACTTAAATCCAATAATAAAATTTTCGGGATATCTCAAATGGTTTGCGTTTTATTTAAAAAGAAAGTTGTCAAGTCCTTAATGGAAAACTCTTTATATGGTGATTTTTAAACACTAGATATCTCAAAAACTTTCTTTGTAGTTCATCCAGTTTTTCCTTGTGACACTGCTAGTAGGGATTTGAAGAGTACTCCAGTTTAGAACATACATAAGAAAAAAATAGGCATTTAAATGCTGCTTCACTATTATATGATCGATTTGTAACAATGGATCCATACATTTTGTATGCTTCAGCAATTTTGTTATCAATATGATTAATGAAACTGATTTTTGAATCCTATAGTACTCGTAGAAGATCTTTATTGGTTAAATGCACTCCAAAAAAATATCATCAATGTTGTAATCAAATAAGATTGGTGCTTTTTTCCTAGAGAAAGTGACTACACATTTTTATTATTTTTATTTTATTATTTTAATATTGGTTGTAGGACATCTGGCAATAGATCAGTACTCCAGGCAGATTAATTTTCTGATGTGTCCAAGAACTTGAGGTTTCTATAAGAGGCCTTTTGAACACCCTGTATAACAAGAATATAGATATGGGCTAGTCTGATGGGAGGTGGAAACCTGTTGAACAAAATTGAATAGAAAATTGCTGTTGTTTTTTTTACCACATCCTTCTCCAGACTGACAAATATTGATATGCTTGTTATACACAGTGTCCCAAAATACTTCCAATAAGAATGTCAGCTACTTCAGGAAACATCCTCCTCAAATCATAATTCGCCTGAAGCTCAGAAATTGATCACTTCTTTGAGTTAAATTTATTGAATGATTGGAACCAACAAAAAAAGACATTTTATATTTTACCACCAATATTGATTTCTAAAATTTGAATTAAGTGTTCCTGAATTTTGTGAAGCCAGATTAACTAACAAAAGTACAAATCCATTTATTTGATACTTTTTTCTTGCAGTTTCAACTAGGAGGTGATATATATAAAGACTTCTACCAACAGCTGGAATCATATTTGGAGTCTGCTCAAAACAACAATTGCGGCCATGTTAAAGACATTTTCTTGAAAAACATAAGAAAGTATCTGGACATTGATTGATTAATCTGTCTATCAAAAAAGCAGTAAAAGATATAAGGTTTGTCTCAATCGCCTATTAATATTTATGTGAAATCAGTATAATGAAAATTGAGATACTTATTCTGTGGTTTTAGTCTTAGATGCTCTCTACTACTTTTTTAATTATTTATATTCTGAGATTTATTTAAATATTGATTTTCCTTTATATAAAGATACATTTATTGATTTTTTACCAATTATTTCTGTTGAATGTTATACAGTTATATAAAAAATCGTATGTACCATATGTTTGTCCAAACTCCATGTCTCATATGTCAACTATTTTGATAGATCTGATAAGTAAAACTGCCATGGTGTGTAGATCCAAAGAAGGTATCAAATGATGTACCTTCACATTCCGCAACGAAAAATGCTTGCTGTGTATTTTCAGTTGCATTTTATGCTGGAACTATTTTGTATATTTGCCTTTAGATACATATTTTTGTAATTATTGTTCGCATAACTGTACTGTACAAAAATAAATATTGACAGTTTAATCATTTTTATTTGAGATACAACCATTCTCAACAGACACATAATGCTAAAGCAACATTCACAGGGTATCAAGCTGGGGTACTTGAAAATTGTCAATATTCTCTTTTGATGCTAAACTAGCTCGTGTAATTTTATACAGGGTGTTTCAGAACTATGGTATCAAACTTGTACGGGTTATTCAGTGTAACAGTAGAAAATGTTTGAGTATAGGGACCCATATCCGGCGCTTGTATGATGTAGTTATCTTTAAAAACGATAACAGAGATTGTTTTTTTGTAGCTGCAGTTCATATCGCCTTAGTCGTGATATCGTATTCGTGAAGTTTGCAAGAATTTAACAAAAATTAATTGTTGCTAATGGAAAACTTTACCAATCAAGAATTGGCGGATGTGCATTTGGCATACGGAGCAACAATCTGCAATGGACGAGCAGCAGCGCGCTTGTATCAAGAACGTTATCCCGAACGACCGCATCCGGGATACAAAAAGTTTATTGCTATTCATCGGCGGCTCTCCGAGACAGGCATGTTTAAAACCAACATTCATGATACTGGTGTTGCTCGAACCGTAAGAACGGTCGAATTTGAAGAAGAGGTCCTTCAGCGAGTTTCCGACAAACCATCCAGTCGCACACGTCACATTGCTGAGGATATGAATACGAGTAACGTTTCCGTCTGGCGGGTGCTACACGAGCAACAACTTTATCCTTACCACTTCCAGAAAGTTCAAGGATTGACTGGAGCAGTGTCTTGGCCTCCTAAGTCACCCGATTTAACGTCGCTAGATTTTTTCCTGTGGGACATGTAAAGTCTTTGGTTTATGAAACTCCAGTAGAAACAGAGCAAAACTTGATTGGACGAATTGCAGCAGCATTTGAAATCATTCAAAACGAGTATCAAGTTTTTAGTCAAGTCCGCCGAAATCATGTGCGACGTATAAATCGGTGTATTCAGGTTGGAGGAAACACATTTTAAACAATTGTTGTGATGATATCATGTACAAAAGGCAAAAACTAAATGCATTAAATCCTATTTAGGCAATTCATCGTCTTTCTAAATTTGAACGCGTCTTAGGGCCGTAGTGATACTTTTCCGGATATGGGTCCCTATACTCAAATGTTTTCTACTTTTACACTGAATAACCCCTAGAAGTTTGATCCCTTAAGTTCTGTATGTAGCTAGAGCCCTGGAAACTAACTAGCTAGGTGACAACTTGTGGGATTTAGGAAAAACTTTCTAACTCTTACTATTATTTACTTATCTCAAATTTTGGGCAAAAAATCAAAATGCATTAATCATAACCTTTTCGTGAATTTTGTATACGATTCCTTTCTATTTACTCTGATGTTCTAAAAGTCCATTTTTTCAAATGGAAAGCGTCGATTTTCGTAATTGTATCATTTTAAGCATCAAAATAATGATAACGATACTTTTCAAATTAATAGTTTACGAGATATTTAGAAAAATTCGTTTTTCTTTTGCAATAATGCACCACATGACTGTTTATGGCTACGAGGGACGTCTTTTAAGTTTTGCATATAGAAACATAGTAGGCCGCGCGGATCGAACGTCAGTACTGAATCCTAACCTCACTCTTTAGTAAACTTAAATTCAAAGTTTCACAACAATACGTGCAGTGTTTTCACTACAGTGAATTTTCAAGTGTCACCAAGTCATTAGAAAACTGGAACTCGACCGAGAACATTTTCGCGCCATAATTTATTACAACTTTCAGAGACAATTATCACTGATCAACAGCCAAAAAATATCCTAAATAAAATCAACAAAATATTACTATTTTTAATGTGCTAAAACCGGAATGAAACTTATTTTTTCAATATTAGTTCAAGTTTTAGAGATACGGTAATTATATGTGTTCCTGCTGTGACAGTGTTAATATACTGTAATTCACAAGAATGCACGTGCTACATTTTTATATTCGGCAAGGAAAGATGATGTAATCGGCATGATTGTGTTACGTTATACATACGTGTACATTATATTGTTTTATATTAGCCATTTTTCCCTCAGTTGGCTGACAGCGTGCATGCAAGATGTCTCGAAAGTGTGTAAACAATCCAGATCAGTTTTGTTACGTGTGTGGTGATGTGACTTTTGCGTCTCAGAGACGGTCTATTACTCCACTAATAACAAAGGCATATCAGCTTTATTTCGGTTGTAAACTAGGTGATCAAGACAAACAGTGGGCACCCCACATCTGCTGTAATACATGTGCTTCAAGTCTGAGGAACTGGTTAAATGGCAAAAAACGGTCTATGCGCTTTGCTGTCCCAATGGTTTGGAGAGAGCCTACAAATCATATTAATGATTGTTACTTTTGCATGGTACCTTGTGTTGAACAAGCCACAGGTATGTCCAAGAAAAAAAAATCGGTTATTAACTACCCAAACATACCATCTGCGATGAGACCTGTGCCTCACAGTGACGAAAATCCTATTACAAAACCCCCAGAATCCTACACTTGCGAATCAGATCATGACGATCGAGTGATTCGTCAGGAAGAAGATATGCCATCAATGTCAAGAGATTCTGATATTATACCGAGCACGTCATGCCACCAACCGCACAAAATAACACAGTCAGAATTAAATGATCTTGTAAGAGATTTAAAACTTCCAAAATGTAAGGCAGAGTTACTTGGATCAAGACTGCAGCAGTGGAACTTGTTTGAAGACGATGTTTCGGTATGTGTTTTTCGTAAACGCCACAAAGACTTAGAACCATTTTTCAATATGGAGAATAACTTGGTTTTCTGCAGTGACATTAACGGCTAACTGGCGGCTTTAAATATAAACTATAACCCAGAAGAATGGAGATTGTTTATAGACAGTTCAACATTGAGTTTAAAGGCAGTGTTATTGCATATTGGAAATATTTTACCATCTCTTCCTGTAGGGTATGCAGTTCACATGAAAGAATCATATGACAATATGAAGTACCTATTGACATGCATAAAATACGATGAGCACCAATGGCATATTTGTGGCGATTTGAAAGTTGTTGCACTTTTACTTGGGCTGCAGCTAGGCTACACAAAGCTTTGCTGTTTTTTGTGTGAATGGGACAGTCGGGCAAAGGCACTTCATTACACCAGACAAAACTGGCCTGTTCGTCAATTCCTAGAGCCAGGTCAAAAAAATGTACAGCATATGCCATTAGTAGATTCGAAAAAAATTTTATTACCACCACTGCATATCAAGTTGGGCCTAATGAAAAACTTTGTCAAGGCATTAGATAGAGATGGGTTAGCTTTTCAATACCTGCGTCAGAAATTTCCAAGACTTAGTGAGGCAAAGGTTAAAGAAGGTATTATTGTTGGGCCACAGATTCGAAATATTTTGAAAGATACACAGTTTGAAAACACTTTAACAGGTATTGAAAAAACTGCTTGGAATGATTTCCGTCTGGTGGTCACTAATTTCTTGGGAAATAGAAAAGCTGACAACTATAAAACCCTTGTCAAAAATATTCTGTCATCGTATCAAAAGATGGGCTGTAATATGTCTCTTAAGATACATTTCCTACACTCGCACCTGGACTTTTTTCCTGACAATTGCGGAGCCGTAAGTGATGAGCACGGCGAACGTTTTCATCAGGATATTTCAACAATGGAAAAAAGGTACCAGGGAAAGTGGAATCCTTCCATGCTTGCAGACTACTGTTGGACTCTTGGTAGAGATGCTCCAGAAACGATCCATAAAAGAACAGCAAAAAGACAGCGCATATGGTGATTCTTATAAGTATATGAATCTTGTTACTTTCTTTAATATATCCTTAAAAATAAAAAGTTTTTTTCTAAACCGCAACTATTTTTTTTATTTCATTGTCATTTTTGGATTCAGCACCCCAAAATTAACAAAGAAGTGCACTTTTCCCACAAGATACAATTAAAAAACTAAAATTTGTTGTCCAGTGATTATCGCAACAAGAATGCCTTGCTGAGTTTCTGTCCGTTTTCGGCAACGAAGCGCCACATCAGTCAACAATTTCCCGTTGGTGTGGTGAATTCAAACGTGGACGGGTGAGTCTTAGCGACGATCCCAGGGTGGGTGCACCAAAAACGGCAGTCACCCAGGAAATCGTCGATGCTGTGCGCAAACTCATCATTGAAGATAGACATGTTACATATCGCGAGATTGAGGTGTCCTTGAAGATCTCAAATACCTCAATTCAAAAAAATTTATATGAAGAATGAGGAGTAAGAAAATTAGTTTCTCGTTGGATACCCCACCTGTTGACTGAAGAGCAGAAAGCAGCCAGGGTTAATTGGTTTCAAAAAACGCTTGACCGTTTCAATTCCGGAAACTCAAAAATGTGTACAGCATTATTAGTGGTGATGAATCGTGGATTTACTGTTATGAACCAGAAAATAAACGACAGTCGGGTGTTTGGGTGTTCCAAGGTGAAGAAAAGCCAACAAAAGTCATCCGTTCTCGAAGTGTTTCGAAAAAGATGGTCGCGACATTTGTGTCAAAAGCGGATCATATTGCAACAGTTCCTCTTAATGAAATGAGCAAAGAACTGTTACTGCGGATTGGTATATCACCATTTGTTTGCCAAAAGTCATCACCGAGCTTCGAAAAATCAACCCCGAAAGAAGAATCGTCCTCCACCAAGACAATGCAAGCTCGCACACAGCTCAAAAAACAAGGCAGTATTTAACGGAAGAAAACGTGGAATTATTGTACCATCCTCCATATAGTCCCAATCTAAGTCCTAACGATTTATTTACTTTCCCGGTCAAAGGTTCCAGTCACCAGAAGAAGCAGTTGACGCATTCAAAGATGCCGTTTTGAATCTGCCAGCAAACGAGTGGAATAAATGCTTCGAGAATTGGTTCGAGTGCATGCAGATTTGTAATAATTTTCGTGGAGAACACTTCGAAAAACAATAAAGTCATTTAAAACTACCTGCCGTGTTGTTTTATTTCCATATGCAAAACTTAAAAGACATCCCTCGTACTTCGCAAAATGACATAGTCAATCCAACATTTGTGGTTTCATTTGGCGACCAAGAAAAACTTGTCGATTTTTTTTCAGGGACAAATTCATTTTTCTTGTGTCACAATCAAGTTAAAATGAACTACTATGGGGTTTATTCCGATTCCATATATTATTTTCAGCCTATTTAGTTTGTTTTACGTAAAACACGGCATTCTATTTCAATGATTTATTAAAAAAAATAATATTCTTAGCTATCCAGCAGGCTAGTAAGTAGCGAGCAGCCGCAAAATATATGATAAAACGCGAACAATAAATTATTCTAAGTGACATAAAATGCAACACCCAGAATTATTTATTGAACTTTGATAAGCACTTGTAAACGTATTTGCTACTATCGAAGCATACGCTGATAAAATGTTGAAGGATGTACTTTTTTTGAAAAGGCTTTTTTTGTTTTGCTACATTATGCAGCAAGAATTATCCTGTGTTTCGTTTTTTATAGTATTCATGGATAAACTAACATGATGTTATGAAGAAAAATCGCATGAACATATATAATATCTTTATTCTATCATTTTTTTTCCAAAACCTCAAATAAATACATAAATTAAAATAAATAAATGAACAACCGAAAATATCACACAAATGAGTACTTGACTAGATTATTGACTAGGAATATTTTGCAGGATTTGTATACAACTTACATTTATATCAAAAAGCTATACAATGACTAATCTCAGGTATCAATTAACAAAAACAAAATCACTTTATGAGTATTTGCTAGAGTTTGCACATGTGGGAAGAAATACTTGTACTTCATAGCTCTTTTTAATTTTTCGGAGCTGTGGAATGTTACATTCAGTATTAATTAAATATTCGTTTTTGTAGCCCTACATGTAAATATGTACCATGCATTCATAATTCTTCTAAATTATATCACGAACATACTAGGATTAAATACGTTATTTTGATTGTACAAATGAATAATTTCTGGCATTACAACATACTACTGTTTTTGTTATCGCATAAAAATATACTCTCGTCTATTTTCTCATCAACTATTATATCGATACAAAGGCCATGTAAAATTATAGAGTATGTTCGGAAACTTTGTAGTGAGATGGGTTTGTAAAGACACCACCCTAACAATAAACAAAATTACATATTGAATCCTAGTACTCGGATTGATAGACGGAATATGATGAAAATGCACGAAATCAGATGCTGTTATCGGTTATTTTGCAATACCGAAATAAAAATGAGAACTGAGGAAATAGGAAATGATTGTTCAACAAACTTTGAAATCCACCTAGTGACATACATAACATTTGGAAAATGTGTAGAGACATAACCATGCATCCTTACCATTTTTATATTGCAGCTATTAGTCATGAACGATAAAATATAAAAAGCATCGGATCACTGGAAGAAGTTATTATGCAGTGCTTTTTAAAAGGTAAAGCTTGTTTATTAGGGGGAAATTTTATTGCCAAGTGCAAAAACGGGAATCTTAAAGATATGTTGGAAGGATGCATAGCTTGGGAAAATTCCATGAAAATGATTTTAATTTCGTTATTTTATTGCACTTTCTTGATGACCTGAACCAGGACATCAATTAATCGTTAAGGAGACCTAGAGCACCCTCTTGATGGTGGAGAATGTGTTCTGGATCGATTGACAAGTGACGTTGAGCGGGACCTGTGACAAAAAAATATTAACGTTAATGGAACGGTTGCACATTAACATTGCCATTTTTTCTGTACAAGATGGCATAATTAGAATCTCAATGTGACGTTTTGTATCTTGTCATCCAGCATCAACTTTATTTTTTATTGGCGTTATATCGGGTTTGGGCTGATAGTGAATTTTCACACTTCGGCGATGATTATCACTGTTTTCCAAATTGAAACGTATAGAGGATTTTCAGTTAATTGTGAATCTCTAAACATGTCCACAAAACGCTGCTCCGCGTTCATCTTTGGAAATGCTGAGACCTTAGACATGTGATTCTGCCAATATAATTGCTTGGAGGAAACATTATAATACCAGAATATCGTAAAACCAACGGGGATTTTATGATATTCTGAACTGAATTATAGTGACAGATTCAGGCGAAGATCTGCGCAACTTTTGGGACATCTAGTTACTAAGTGCTCTAGCACAGGCACCTCTATTCGTTCGCGATGCGCGTTAACTACCTTGTAAAGCAAGCTTGAGACTACATTTGCCTCAAAACCGCAACGAAATTAGGCAAGTGGTAGTGCTAAAAAAGGCGAAGTTAATTTGTTTATAAACTTACCTGGTGCCAGAAGGAGACCTCGCCGACGGGTTCCTGCCGCTTCTCCTGGAGCTACTGGTCGGTCTCCTATGCCAGCTGGGACTGCGGCGCTCTCTGGAGTCCACCGATGAAGACCTCCTCGACACCGAGGTTGACCTCGATGAGCAAGAGGGCGGTGGAGATGACCTTGTGTAAGGGATCGGACGTTTACGGGCGCTGAGCAAGGAGCGGCGTAAAACCAAAGCCGGGAGTTAGTAATGGTTGTTATTAGACGTACAGGAGGGGGTTAGAGTTAGTTGGGGTAATGGGTGTTGCCTGTAATTTTCGCACACTACAATACTGTTCTCCAGCGGAGCCACATTCTGTCTCTAAATGACTAGACATATATCAAAGAGTATCAGGTAACCAAATAAGTTCGTGCTGTTTTAGTAGAAAAATATAAATTTTTATTGAGAAACAAGACACTATTTATTCGTCGCAGTAATTACCATAACATTCAATGATGTTTCGCCAAAGTGGAACCATTTGGAGTAAAAAAATTGGCGGACTGCATTTATTACACCATCTCGAGTTGTGAACTGTCGGTGCCTCATACCGTTGTCAAGAGACAAAAAAATGATAATCACTGCGCGAAATGTCCGGAGAATATGGCGGGTGCGGTAACGTTTCCCAGTCGAGTTCAGAAATTTTTTCTCGCTCGGGTCCCTTTGCGGTATGAGGCTTTGCGTTATCCTGCAAGAATATCACTTTCTTCCGATTAGTCAAAGAAGTGCTGCTTGTACTCGTTGAAGCTGCTCAGAATACAAGTTAGCAGTGCTGGTTTGACCCCTTTCCAAAAACTCAAAGTGGACTATTCCAGTTGGTGTCCACCACACACACACAACAAAACCTTGTTTGGGTGCAAGGAAGCCTTGGGCGTGTGTGGTACCGAATCAGTAGGCGACAACCAATGATACGATCGCTTAGAATTCGAATACAAGATCCATTTTTCGCCGCAGGTTAATAACCGATTAAGAAATGGTTAATTAGCGTTGCGGGAAATGTTTGCTGAACACATGGTGAGACGACTTAATTTGTTATCATTTGTCAGTTCATGTGGGACCCATTTGCTTAACTTCCACGTCTTTCCTAGCTGATGAACATGCAAACGAATAGTTTCAGGACTCACTCTGAACATTTCTGCAAGTTCTTGGCACGTTGTCCTGGAACTTGCGTCCACAACCTGTCGAAGATCCTCGTTGTTCATGATTGTTGGTCCCCCTGAGCGCGGTTCATAGCTCAAACTGAGAAGAAGACTTTTTGAACCACTTCTGTGCTGTTCGATCACTAACGGCATCATCTCCGAATGCGGTACATATTTTTCGCGCCGCCGCTGCAGCTTTTGTACCAAGTTTGTACTCATACAGTAAACCTCGAATTACTGTTTCATTCGTCGCCATTGTCAATTATTAAAACTAGGTATGTAACAATTTTCAGCAACTTTTTATGTGTGTGAGAAAAGAAGGATTCATACTAAAGTGACAACGGGTAACACACAATCGCTATCGACATACAGCACCCGCACGAACTTATTTGGTTACCTGATAGTTATATCAAGAGAAGACACATCGCGTACTGATATGATACGATAAAAGCTAGTCACATCTGAATAGCATACTCGGCCCGTGTGCTATTAAACATCAAAATACGTGTAAGATTTGATTAGTTTTTAACATTCCATGTCAGTGCGCGTTGTAACCAAAACTTTGAAGTCGGCTCTTGGTCTAGTACTGGTTTACAAATGGAAACAGGAATCTATGTGCGAACTGTCATTGGCTACCGAGGCGGTGTTGCAAAGCTGTCACAAAATATTTATAAAATGCTACATTTATACTAAGCAGAATTGAGTTCAGCCCTTTTCACAGTGATTGGTGGTTACGTCAACAAGCCATCCGAAATAAAAAAAAACATTGCCTTAAGACCAGGGTGATAACTTGCGATGATGGCAAACAGACCGACGATTGGTCAAGCAATTTGAGGTTAGTAAAACATGAATTTCTAAGAAACATGCTTCTTTCATTACTAAACTGAGTTGTGTATAAGTATGTTTTATTAAATGATAAATATATTTCTTAGGTTGCAAACGGATGACAAATATCCTCACCATGTGTAAATGTCCAAGCAAAAGTAAATTTAAACAATAATGCGTTCACTACAACCGATGTTCAATGAATTTATCCAAAAAGGATTATCTATCTGGCAACAGTGCATGTATTTCCGACAGAATGAGAACGGTCGTGTTTGGACGCCAGCAATTTTTTTGTGACGCTATGTTTTTGGATGCATTTCTTATACCTGTCTCTCTGTTATTCACCTTGCCTGTCTCCTCTTTATATAACTGTGTTTTGCCTATACTGCACTGAACTTTGATAAAAATCACAAAACAAGGTTGTATACAGTTGGATATGATCGCAGAGACGGAAAGCGAACAGATCCAAGCTTGTGTTGGCAGCATAGTGATACTTGATACTCCTCCGACGATGGGACGTCAATGTGGTGGACGACCCTCTCCGGCTTCTTAGAAGATACCCGAAAGTGTGGTTTCCTGCTACCGTAAGTGGGGGGGTTTGAAGTATCCATAATGGCGAAGCTATTTAGGAGATAGTGTGACCTTTATTTTGCATCATAACTGCTCACAAAATTTCATAGCATTTTTGCCGAGCTTAGTAGGTATGTTTTGATGTATAAGTGGTACATTTATACAGGGTGTCCCAGATAGTAGACGTCAAGCGGGATGCGCGATCGGCCAAGTCATAATAGTTATCAGAAAGATATTAAAAAGTCTAAGTATTATACGCTTTAAAAATAGGAAAATCTACACCCTGTGATGTTCTTTTAGTTGCCAACCCCGGGATTATCTTCCAAGAGTTGAGTGTTGTCAAACAATGTTGCAGAAACACCAGGAAGATCCACGATCCTCCTAGCTTATGTCACGCAGTTGTGGAGTAAACTCATGTCTTATGGTGAGGCTTATGTTGTTGCTCTTGACATCACGAAAGCGTTCAATCAGCTGTGGCCTCCCAGAAAAGCTTTGCAGATGGGTGGCTGACTTTATCTCTGGCCGCAAGATATCCGTCGTACTTGACGGGTTCTTGTCTTCATCCCACGTCAACGCGGGTGTTCCCCAGATATCGGTCTTGGCTCCGACACTGTTGCTGAGCTGGAAAAAAAGAAGACTACCGACGACTTTCTCTCTGACGAGAGACCTGGATGTTACCACTGCTTGTTGTCGCAACAATCTTGTACAGTTTAATGCTTCCAAAACACATTACTGTACTTTTACGAACCAAAAGCGTCCTAGCGCTCATCCGGTTTCGATGGATGGCCGAGTTCTGCCAAAGAGCCATTCATTTCGGCTGGTCGGAGTCCAGATCACCGAGGACTTGATCTGTCACGAACACATCTCGTCAATAGCTACATTATTTATGCTCGATGCTGTCCATAGGAGGGCTGTCCGACTGATCGATGACTCTTATCTAACAGACAGTCTCGGGCCCTTTCGCAACGGCGGGCTTTGTTCTCTTCCATGATGCCGCCGCACGATGTGCCTGCCAGACAGACCCGTCTGACTTTGACCTCCCATCCTAACCGTGTCGCACATCCACATCTACAAGAGGAAGCTTTTCCCAGTTCTACTAACCTTAAGAAGTTCAAAAATCGTATTAACAAAATTTCTTTGGGATCATCATAGCAGCTGCGGTGTCCCGGCATTTAGGCTTCCGCCTGCGCGGCTGCTTCGGTATAAAAAAAAAATGAATTTTCAAGTAATGGGATGTGAAAGATCATCACAGGGAGTAGATTTTTCTAATTTTTTTAAGCCTATAATTTGAAAAAAAATTCTGATAACTATTATGACTTGGCGTATCCCCCGTTTCCGGCTTGTCGACTTCTATGAAAATACTTCAGCAATTTTCATTATTTAAAAATTCTATTTATTTACATAGAGGATATTTATAAAAACCAGATACACGAAAAGCCGTATTTTATGCATATTTTCAATTTTTTGAAAACTTATGACAGACCATATTGATAAAGTATAAGGCGACACCCTGCATAAGGGCAGATTTCACATATAAAAACAACTTGATAAAAAACATTACTAATAAAAACATAACCATGCCTCACTTACCATACATCTCCACTACAATAATTTCCAAGCAAAAAAAACGAGGTGCAATGAAACAAAAAACTAAACAACCAGCATAATTTATTTTATACATACTTATACCTACAATAATCATACAAAAAATTAAAACATCAAATCAATTCAGCCTAAAGAAACTATGTGGTACACAGTACACAGAACATTCTGCCAAACTACCGGTGTCTGAAAGTAAAAGAAAATATAAGCTAATAAGCAATAAACGAAAAATATATAACAGTTATATTTACTATAAAAAATAACTCCTGAATGAAAATTATAAACGAAAAGTTTAAATTCAAACTATGCGACTTTTCGAAATTATGGTGATGACTTTACTCAAAATGAGTAAATTAATTGTACAGTTTAAAGTCAAAAAATAGTGTCAAGCTATACATTACATGATAAAATGTATTGGGTCTAATATGAAGTTTTCATGTACTATTTTTTTTTTGTCTCAGAAAAATGCTATCGAAAAAAGTTGTATTTTTTAAATGGAACACCCTTCTTTTTGATTGGTCCAATTTGTGACTCAGTCGCAACTCCTTATTTTTTTATTGGCAGAAATTGTGCCCTAGCCGCAAATTTTGTACCCAGGGTCAAATCAAAGAATAGGTTTTTGTGGCAAGGTGATATATGAAGTATTCCTTCATTTATTATGATACAAGAAATCTACCAATTCATTAGAATGGTTTATTAAAATTGGGCATTAATGACACAATTTAGACTTATCTAGCCCACCTGACAGCAGTCAATATTTTTTTGAAATACAATTGAATTCGATACCAATGACTCACAAATCAACGCAATTCACAATACACAACGGCCAAATTTAAAAAATAGGCAATGATTGACGGTTTGAGGTAGGAAAAAGTTTATACTTTGTTTTTAGTTCTCTTTACAATATTTTACTTCCAAAACTTCCGTCTAGCTTCAACGCTTGAGTGCATTGAACTCAATCATTTCCTAAAACCAAAATACTTTATCATTGTTTCTACACTTGTTTTTTGATAGCTTAAGGGGCAGCATATTGCATCTACAGTAGCGGACTCAAAGTTTGGAGACAAATGTTAACATTATTATGAACTATTTCATATACCTAAATTAAAATTGTCAAGGAACAGATAATATAAATATTAAAGTCTACCTTTGTCTCCCGTACTAATACAAGGTTATTTTATCAATATTCAAATTCTCTGAAAACAAAAACTCGCGTTTTTTTTACCCCAATTTTGGTAACGACAAAGGTATGGAAACATTTCAGTTTTGCCGTATTTATTCGTTCTGCGATACTCTGATATTGCGTGCGGTAAATATTAACATCAGTGAGAATGGCAATTGTTAAAGAATTTTCGAAAGACTTAAGAGGCAAAGTAATCGTATTATTTAGAAGTGGTGTTAGAAATGTTGACATTTCTCAAAGATTAAAAATGAACAAAGGGACGATTTCGAAAATTATTCGTAAACATCAACAGCAACGCGCCCCAGGTGCGGAAGAACTAAAAAAGACAGATTATGTTTTGGATCGCTACATTAATAGATTGCCCCATGAAGATCCTCGAATGCCAGCCAGACAGATTTTCAAAAGAACCGTAGAAGAGGGTGCCGAGAATCTTTCTGTCAGAACAGTGTAGAGACGCTTGAGCTTTTTAGTAGGCGTTCAGTGCAAAAGCCTCTCATTTAGAAAAAAATTGGTATTGCTCGGCTTGAATTTTCTGAGACTCATCTAACAACAATGGAATACAGTTTTATGGAGCGATGAAACCAAATTTAACTTGATTGAACCTGACGGTACGGCATATCTGACTACAAAGATATTATTAGTGAACAGATGCTCCTTTTTGAAGAAATGCCTTTACGATGGACATTCCAGCAAGATAATGAACCCAAGCATACCTCAAAATTCGTAAAGGACTGGTTAAGACTAAAAAATGTTAATGTTCTTACATGGCCTTCGGAATCCCCGGACCTAAACCCTATAGAATATATCTGGGACCATGTTAAAAGACAAACTTCTAAAAATGGGAACGATTTATTTATGAAAAATATTTGGCAAAATATCCCAACCGACGTCTGTAAAACATTGGTGTCTTCTATGAGCAGAAGATGTCAGGCATTGTTGAATGCTAAAGGCTAAGCTACCAAATATTAGCTAAACAGTATTTTTTAAATCTTTTTGTAGAGTTATTGTATTTAATTTTGTAATAAAAAATATGTTTCTATACTTTTGTCGCCTTATTTTCGGTCATGAAATAATATGAAGGTATTTTAATGCTAGGATACACAAATTGTCATTTGTATCCTCAAGACCGTAAGCAAAATATATGAAAAAATAGCCCTTAATAATAAAGAATAAAATATTAGCACACTTTTTAAATATTACTAAGAATGTTTCCAAACTGTTGTGCGCTACTGTATATGACTGCATTTTATATTTTACTACTTTTTTCTACCTCGTTTAAATCTAGCATTCCAACGAAACAAAAAAATAAAATAAATGTGCTGCTATAATACATATAAGGTACAATCTACTTTAATACCTGGTGATTCTCCGTCTGTCCAAGAAACTAGGCGATCCATGCCTTCGTGGTATTGACAGCGACCTTGACCTTGATCTGTCCTTATCACTGGCCGAATCATCGCTACCACTACCGCTTAATGACGAAGCTGAGGATGATGACCTGGAGTCTGAGCACGATCTCGACCTGGACCTATTTAAAATTGAAAATAAAGTCATTTTACGATGTTTTATTCTGCCGTTGTTGCTGTTTGATGGGGAGAATGTTTCGTATTGTTCATCTTCCAAAGTGACGAATCAAGCAGACAGTGGTCTTGAACACCCAAAAAGCTGTCAAAAAATCAAAAATGAAGTAATGGAAATGGATGAAATTTATATGTATTTGAAGGTTGATACTTTGAATAATTAATTGGCCATACAATCCGTGACGTTCTATATCACCAACCGTGTTTGTTTTGAAAAAAAACAAGATATCTATGGATTCTACTAAAGACACTTAAGATTTTTATTTTAATTTCGTCTGTTATGTTAAAAATATATTTGTGCGTTTTTAAAGAATCCTTCTTAATCGGCAATCACTCTAATATTGCAATGATCCTATCTCCTAACAGCATATTTGAAATCAGCAACCTCATGCCTCATTTATTGACAGACTTTTGGGTATTCTAGACCACTGTGCGATGCAGTTATACGCGCGAAAAATAAAAAGAATATCAATAAACACTTACCTGGATCTGGACCTGCTTCTGGATCTTGAAGTAGCAGAATGTGCCGATGTAGACCTATCACTGGTAGCGCTACGTCGATGTCTACTAGTACGGCGCCCCCTGCTGCGGTGGCGATGTTCAGAACTACGGCTCCGACTACGCGCTGCTTCTGATTTCCTGCTGTCCACTGAGCTGTTAAAAAAATATATTATGAGGAAATATGCGAATGGTTTGGATTTTCTAAATTACAGTCACATCTAAACAGGTTTTCGATCGTCAACTTGTCACGCTACTAACGGCAAGTTTGCTGGGTGTGTAACTATCCGAAAATAGAAGCGCAAGGTTTAAGCATTGATCAACGTATTTTACCTATAGATAGCCAAGCTAATGCTAAATTTCCGCGTTCAAAAAATTATCCAATCATTGTAGTCTGGTCTAGTTGTTCAAGAGGACATTTAAAACAATTTATTTGAGAAAACTTTTTATTCGACAACAAAGAATGAGAAAAAGTGTTATTTGGGATTCAATCGAAAGTGTTGATAGGAACGATAAAACTTTTTAAATAAGATTTTTAGGTATTTATAAGTCTACAAAATGAAACCACACAAAAAAGATCCGACTAATAGCAAAAATGTTTTGTCCGAAAAATGAGGCAAAATTGCAGGTTTTGGCACTTGGTCATGCAACGATAATTTACGCAACTACTTGAAATTCTTCAAATCCGTAGGATTCATACATCTAAATGATAACAACAAAATTGGAGTATATTGGTCAAGTAGAATTTCTAATTGTTTATTCCAAGACACCTATTTTCCGGCCATCACTACTAGGTTATTGAGCACTATATACAGGGTGTCCGCAAAGTTGGGGTTTTCCTTTTCAGAAACAACTACCCTTGAAATACTATAACAAAGGTAATGTGTAGTGAAACGAGGGCGACCAAGTAAAAAAAATAAAGGAAAAAGTACTCACTCTCCAGTTGACGAGAAGGGCTAAGTACGTCTCTGCCCGAAAGCATACCGCTCCAACAGAAAATGAAATCAGCTGATGCACTACCGCGCAGACGCCGGCGGTGGTGTCGACCACGAACAGAGGTAACAAATATGACAAATTTGGGAGAATAAATGGTTCAATGAGCATACCGTTCACCATGCCAGCCCAAACATTCACCGAAAATGTTTGTTGAAAATGTGCCCGACGGACAGCGTGCGGATTTTCTACTGACCAAACATGAGTGTTGCGAAAGTTATTCACCCCATTACGCGTGAACGTAGATTCGTCTGTCACCAATATGCACTTCAAAAAGTCCGGATTATTGTCATGTTGATGCAACAACCACTCACAAAACCGCACTCTTGCTGGAAAATCGTCAGGTTGAAGGGCTTGTACACGTTGGACGTGAAACGGATACAGCCCCTCTTCACGCAGCGTTTGCCACACTTTAGTTTTTGATACTTGCACTTCTCTAGCCACGTCTCTAGTGCTTGTTGTTTTTTGAAACGCAATCGATTATACGAGTTCGTTTACCTCTACAAGCGTGACCGTAACCGTCGGTTGAAGGTTGCATACTGACCTGACACACTGACCCCGACCCACTTGTACCAGTCGGTGATATCGCAGGTCGCGGCTACAGGACGGTATTCAGATATTTTTGATGTTGCAGAGCCCTTTATCTCGGTTCCCTTAAGACATTGGTGTATATGGTACTAAGAAAAATTGCTTATGTTTTCAAGATCTACACGTCGTGTAAAGGAAAACCCCAACTTTGCGGACACCCTGTATAGGGTTCGTTCAAAGAGCATTTAATAGCAAAATACACAAGTTTACTTTGCCGATATGAATCACAAACCATTACGAAAGATAAATGTTATTTTTAGGTGAAACATGAAGGTTAAGTTTTTTCTTCTATAAAAATTCAAATATTTCGTATTTGTGAGTAATTGAACAAATGTGTTACGATATTCGAAAAACATACGTTACTATATACACATTTTAAAACAAAGCGGATGTGTCTATCATCTTTTGTTGCGAATTACTCACAAATACGAAATGTTTGAATTTGAATTGTCTGGAGAGGGTTTTGAGGCTTTAAATACGTGTATATAATATAACTCTAAACAATTTATATGCTTGTAATATATTTTCATAACGTCTAGATTTTTCATAATTAGTGGGTTGGTTCCTTTCTGCAAAAAGCCGTGTATTTATGAGAATTGGTCACACCTATTTTATATTTACTATATAGGCTTTGAAAAGGTTAGTGTACCACAGATGACGCTGTAGCAATATAAATACGAGGTGACTATAGCGCCATCTACGAGACAGTAGTTTTTTTAAAGTATATATAAGTAAAGAGAGAAACAGCTGTAACAAATTTTTATAGATGACGTTTTATCTCGGTTAATTTTTCGGACGCTAAAATATAGTATTGAGTTGGCTATCTTCAGCTAGGATATTTTTTAATTTTTTTTTAATGTTTTTACTGGCCAGAAACTGGTTTACTGACATTGTTGTTTGACAAGAAGCATTATTGGGATGCAACACCCAGTTGTTCTTGATCTGATGAATGATACTGTTCTTCAAATCTAACTCTTCCCCGATCATTCTGTCGAAATTTTCATCGGTTCTTAAACATGAAGGACTGCCACTGTGGTTCATCTTCAATCGACTATCCCCCGTCTGCAAATGCCTTAAACCACCGAAAAACCTGGGCTCTTAACAAAACACTATCTCCGCATGCCTGTTTAGCAAGAGTTTCCCTTGCACTAAGCCCAAGTCTGAACAAAACCGTTGCTCGAAATTGGTGTCACAACATAATAGAAAAAACTGTGCCACAAAAAGAAAAAACGCTACCATAGAACCAAATGATGAGCGAGTTCAAACTTGTACTAAACGCGGATAACATGTTCCCCTGTCTCTTCTCCAAGCGCGGCACCTCCAGTGTTGCCAGATCGAATGCTACGGTGCCAGTCTCATCACTAATTTACAGACCTAGTACGTGAATATCGATATGTTTGTTGTGACGCGATGGAAATGCCATTTAAATAGGATAAGCTGATGCTTCAACATACCTTCTGCTGCTATGTGATGATGAACTTCCCGACCTACTCCTCGACAATTTTCTTCCAATTAAAGACGTTGCACCAGCAAGTCTACTTCTTGCCTTAGTTGCTGCTGCTGCTATGTCAAACGCGTCCTTGTCTATCACACTTTTCTTTGTTTCCTCTAAATTAACAGAAAAGATATTTCATATAGACGTTGAGAGCATACATCTAACTGCAATGAAAAAATAAAAGCATCTAAAATTTCATGGATGAAATACAGCAGACGCTCGATAATGTAAACTAATTTAATCCAAGTGTGGTTCACATTATCGATATGTTACATTAGCGAACGTGATTTATATAATATTTGATTTATTAAAAGAAACGTTTAATACATACTATTTATAACAAAATAAACAAATATTCTAACAGCGATAAGTATTTTTTTAATTAGAAGAAAAATAATTAACAATTTTTGTCTGCGTAAATTTGCGCTCCAATGCCTGCGCCCGTAATTTACGAAGAACTAAAATATCCGTGTATGAAACTTCTTTTCTTTCAGCCCAATCTAAAGCTTGGTTAAAAACTTGTATAGCTTGCGCGTCAGTCACTACACTTCTGACTTCAGTGGGATCGTTCTCATCATCCTCACTGTCCATATCCTCCTCCTTATCAGCATCATTCGTCTGCTTATCTTCGTTCCATAAATTAATATCAGCAGGAGTACAAACAATGTTGGGATTCACTGTTTTCAATAAATCAACAACATCCAATGACACACTAATAACATTATCATTATTGGATCGCAAACGTTCTCTAATTACGCTTAAGGGGACATCGTCTTCTTCATCATCTTCATTATTGGTACAAAAGAGATTGTTCCAACATTTTTGAATAGTTTGCTGGTTAAGTTTATTCCAGGCCATATGTAAATCTAAAACAGCTTCTCGTAATGTTACTTTTTTTAAAGCATCAGATAAGTTTTCAGGATTCTTTGATAAGACAGACGAAAGTAGAAACTTCCTATAGTATAGTTTGGTGAGTCTTATTATATTCTGGTCCATCGGTTGAATTAACGGTGTTACGTTGGGCGGCATGTACATGACGAAAACTGACACATCCCTGCTCCTCAGTTGTTGCTCGGGAGGATGACTTGGTGCATTATCCAATAGTAACAATTTTATTGGAAGCTTCTGTTGTTTTAGGAAACCTTTTACCTACAAATTGAAAACACATCTTCAAATTATGAATAGAGCATTTGTGATAATTGATTGTCATACCTGAGGGACAAAGCACCTGTGGAACCATTTCAGGAATATACTGCTAGTCATCCAAGCGGTTTTTGAACAGTCATAATCAACAGGGATATTAACATTTTTAAATGAGCGCGGATTTTTTGCTTTCCCAATTACCAGTGGCTTTATTTTGTGTGAACCATTAGCATTAGTGCAGGCTAGAAACGTTATTCGTTGTTTCTCCGGCTTTCTTCCCGGGGCTGATTTTTCAAATGATGCAGCATAGGTTTTCTTTGGTAACATTTTCCAATAAAGGCCACTTTCATCTGCGTTGTAAATTTGTTCCATTCTTAAATCTAGCTCGGTAATTGTTTTCATCAATTTTTCTTTGAATGGTTGCACTAATTGTGGTTGTGCTGATAATTTTTCACCAGATATAGACAGCAGTCGAATTCCATATCTTGTTTTGAATCGTTGTAGCCAGCCATCACTAGCTACGAAATTTTCAGTTTCTTTCAGTTTTTCATTTAACAGACTCGCTCTCTGTTTAAGTACTTCGCCACTAACTGGGACATGATTTTCCCGTCGTTTTAAAAACCACTTATACAGGGAATTTTCCATTTTAGGTGCCTTCGCATTTTTTAAAGTTTTTCTTTTTCCCGGACCTCCAAATGTATTGCACGTTCTTTGTAAAAATTGAGTTTTCATACGCTTAATTTTACAGATTGTTGCTTTCGATACTCCATATTTTTTTGCTAACTGTGTCACTCCCTCACCTAGTGCAACTTCGTCTATGATTTTCACTTTCTCACTCAACTTTAAACACTTTCTTTTATAGGATGTGGATGCCATAGTCGTAAAATATATTAACGCGTGCAATGTATTCACTTAAGTTCAAAAATGAAATACATACGTACGTATAAACGTATCATAAATGATCATACGACTGACCGAGTTTGTCGTATTTTATCGCAGAGGTGAATCCCCTACACTCTACATCATAAATCGGGGACTCCCTGACGCCCGACATAAATCATCGAAGCTTCAGCATTTTACCGTCGCGCTGTTTTCGTGCGCCGAGAGTTGTTTACGTTATCGAGCGTACACATTGTTTACGTTATCGCGCGTTCCGTTTGACCCTATAGAACGAAGTTTGTGTTTACATTAGCGCAAGTGTTCATTATCCCGTGTTTACGTTATCGAGCGTCTGCTGTAATTACTTTGCACAGAATATATAGCAAATCTATCATATTTTTGTTCCCATGGTAGATGTAGCGAAAATATGTGTGACATGTTATGTCTAACATGTGCATAGTATCACTGAGATCAGCAGCTTCTTAAATTATCCATTAGGAAGGTCTTCCACAGTCACCAAATATATATGCTCAGTGGGATTAGAAGTTTTACACCCGGAAAAAATATTTGTTTTCTCTGTTTTTGTTTACCATAGTAAAAATGTTATCTCTTAGTTTTTGTGAAGAAAGCAGTTTCTGAGAGCTGAGCAGTACAGACATTTTCAGTTATTGCCCTTTCATTTACTAGTGTCAAGCATAACAAAAGGCCTCGATTTTGAAGACGAATTATCACCATGTCAGAGAGTTTGACATTGTTGAAGAAATTATTTTTTCTGGGTGTAACACTTTTAATGTCTCTGAGTATATATTTATTCCAGCGATTTTATTTCAGCTGCCTCTGAATCAAATCTAAGACCGCCTAAACGATAAAAAGTATTGAGCTCGCGATAATTTTCGAACTTCGGTTCACAAATTTTCTGTTGTTAAAGATATCTGTATCATACAAAGATCATAAAATTCAGGAAAAATATGTGTCAATATAAAAACAGTTGAGTCGTCATTTACAAAAGCATCGCAATATGTTATGTGTTAAAATCCAAATATTATTAAAATATATAAGTATTTATCCTGTTGCGGTGTGCCAGTGTCGACACCACAGCAGACCAGTTGGAGTTTGTCATTGCACAATCGGCTGTGGCCTTCACGACGATGCAGTATCGCGGCGTGCACGCAACGCCAACGATTGACACATTATACAGGGTGGAAACGTTATGGTAGTCATTATTGAAATGGGTAATAGGGGGGTCAAAACAAGTCAAAAAGTTCATGTGACCCATGGTCCAAAAGTCAATAGATTTTTGTCTAAATGGCTTTATAGTTTACAACTTTAAGTGCTTTATATCGACCACAATCACCACAATCTTACTAACATTTATAATCTAATCTAAAACGTTTTTAAATTGGGTAATTAACAAATAAATGGCATTAAGTTTTGCTAAGTTAAGCCAAAATTTGTAGTCAGTAAGTAAGTTTCATTAAATTGAATATTTACACACATGACAATAGCGCGTCGGTCATCATCACTCTTATCGAACCGGCAATCGATCGTAAACGGTAACAGTGGTTAGTATGTTGTTTTGTTTTTGTTCGCGTACGTCGTCGTGTTGATTGATTTACAATGTTCTAGAATCAAGAGTTCGCCGACATGTTGTTAATTTACGGCGTTAATTTGAGCGATTTATTATGTTTTTGCCACTAGCTCCGCCACCACTAGACCGACTTTCAAAATTACAAAGATTCTTCATCCTTGGCATAGTAGGACTTCACAAAATATAGGTTTTAAAAATAAGCGGACTGACTGACAGAAAGGGGATTACAATACAATGACGTGTGAGGTAACAGGATGAAAATTCGTCAAGTAGACAAACTCACCAGCACTGAGAGGTCCAATCATAGTCGCTTCAGCAATTTTCCCAGGAGGCGCGAAATCGCCCTGCTTCAAAGGGAGCACCCTGATATCGAACAGATCCGGCTCGATGTGTTTCTTGATTGCTGGCGGTTGAGATTGCAGCGCTGCCACTATTGCCGCGGCAGATTGTTGTCTATCCAACGCTGGACGTTCTTTCTTGCGTTCCAGGGTCTCTTTGGCTTTGGCCGCCAGGCCAGACTTCAGTAAACGTAGCATCCGTAGTTCTTTGTCGTCCAACTAGAGCAAAATAAAAGTGAAATTAAAAAAATGGCGTCGTGTAGGTTGACTATGCGAGTATGGCCTGATTTCATAAAGAACTAAACTGGTGGACCGTTGCTTTGCAATATGGAAAATTCGATATCGAGTTGAAGTATTCGTGAGATTCTTGACCAACTCTTTGAGAACAGGTACAGGGTTCGACCGGTATATTTCTTTTATTTATCCACTAGACAGGGTGAGCAAACAAAGTCATGTTTTTTTAGCGAAGTTTGGGACTCTCAATTTTTGATCTTGGAAATTTTTTTATGCAACTTTTTGATCTTAGGACTATCCTAGAAAAAGTGAAACCGGAGAAACGCCCTATTTGCACGGAGAGGGTAAAAAAATACGTGGTCAAGCCGAAAGACATTTATTGCGGGAAGTTAAAAATTCGATAATTTAAGTTATAGCCAACTTTCGAAAGATTTGAGAAATTAATTTTTTTTAGGATAGTCCAAAGATAAAAAAAATGCTTAGAAAAATCTCCAAGATTAAAAATTGAGAATCTGAAACTTTGTTAAAAAACCTGACTTCCTTTGCTCACACTGTATAAGTGGATAAATAAAAGAAATATATCGACCCTGTACGTGTTCTCAGAGAGTATCGAGATTTGAATTTGGGTAAAATTTTACATCTTGCAAAGCAACTGTCCACCAGTTTATGTTCAGCATAAGTTGACCCCTCTGAGAAAAAAGATAGCAACGAACAAGCATAACAAAAAAAATAAACGGATCAAGTCAGTCAAACAAGCCCATGCAATTAGTGCAAAGTCCCCAATTGAGAACGTTGTGATCTAGAAATGTCTCCCCAGCCCTACCGACAGTAGCGACCATCTGTCAACGTTGCAAAAACTAACCTGGCCAGATCCCGGCACTTGCAAATCCTGGGATGCGGTGTTGAAAATATTTCTCTTTCATTTCAAGTGTAAATGTAGGTAGAAATCTATACGTGAAATATGTCTAATAAGTGCGTAGAACACTAACGCCAAAAAATTGAGATATACTAAGTGACATATAAATCCGAACACCCAGTTTAAATGGTTTTATTTTAATAAAAGTTGGTGAATGTATTTATCTTACTGTAAATAACAAGTGAAAAAATTTTCAGCCTTATCAGTTGGACATTCCGGTTTTTATACTGCTTTTTTTTAATTCACTAACGCTCTAAAAATTAATATTTCAGCCGCAGTAAAGAATCAACGTTGGCGGATTTTGGTTTTTGACATCCTTTACGATCGGTTACGATGTCTAGAGTACGGAGACCTGTACGATTTCGTCAACTTAGTGAGTTTGATAGGGGCCGTATAGTGGGACTTCGGGAAGCTGGACTTTCTTTTCGGGCAATTGCAGTTAGAGTGCAAAGAAGTGTAAACACTGTGGTTAGGTGTTGTCAGGCATGGCTTCGAGAAGGCCGTACGCAAAGAGCAAGGGGCACTGGACGCCGCCGTAGAACAACAGACCGTGAAGATCGCCGCCTAAGATTATTGGCCTTAAGGGACCGTTTCTCCACTTATTGCAAATGAATGGTTTGCAGAACACGGAAGACCTATTGGCATGCGAAGTGTTTACCGACGAATGAGAAGTTTTGGCTTGTTTTCATACCGGCCACACTGGGTCCTCCCTTTAACTCGAGAACACCGACGTAATCGCCTTAAGTGGTGCAGACAACGGTCACTCTAGGATCAGGAATGGAACAGTATTGTCTTTAGTGACGAGTCTCGATTTTGTTTAGGCATGCACGATGGTCGTGCCAGGGTTAGAAGGCGACGTGGTAAAAGGAGGAATCCACAGTTTTTTTGTTGAAAGACATGTTCATCACACTGTTGGAGTTATGGTTTGGGGTGCTATAGCTTATGGTTCCAGGTCACCTTTAATCTGCATCAGAGGTAACATGAACACGCAGCGTTATATCCACGAAGTTCTAGAACCCCATCTTTTACCCTATCTTGACATCCTGGCAGATCCAACTTTCCAACAAGATAATGCCCGACCACATGTTGCAAGAGTCACAATGGACTTCTTTCAACATAATGATGTCACATTGTTACCATGGCCACCAAGATCTCCCGACTTATCCCCAATTGAGCACGTGTGGGATATGATGGGTAGGAGATTGCTCAATTTGCAACGTCCTCCTCAGACTCTAGAAGCACTTCGAGAGGAGTTGGTGGTTGCCTGGAATGAGATACCACAGGAGGACATTGACCACCTGATCAGAAGCATGCCTAGGCGCGTTGGAGCATGCGTAGCACAAGAGGGTGCATCCACACATTATTAAAGGTCAAAGGGCTTTAAAGCAGTGCAATCATTTTGAATTTTTTATCATTTACTTATTATGCTTCATTAAGTACTTATACAAAATTTTATTGAAATAAAACCATTTAAACTGGGTGTTCGGATTTATATGTCACTTAGTATACATTTTCCCCTACTCCATACATCCGACAATTTTTCAGAAAACGACCAGGGGCCTCTGAATAGTCAAACAACGAAGTTTGGGTGACTTTCACTTGTTTTTCATTTTTTGACCCTAGCTGCGCCGACAATGGACCGATTTTCAAAAACTGCAAAGATCTTTCGACATTGCCATACTGGTAATCTTGTGTGAAACTTCAGCAAAATCCATGTTATAGACCGGTCAAGGATTAGCAAATAGACAGACGGACCGACAAAGGAGTGAGATGGTTGTCGAATAACATCCAGAAAACCACTATCTCATTTTCGAAATTTTTCGCGAATATAATACTCCCTTACCAGGGGCCCGGGGAGTAAAGGAACATTTTAACAAATAACAAATGACATTTAATCTGGGGCTCTACTTAAAAATTATATAATGTGAATTGAGATTACGCTGTGATCGGCATTAATTTATATACTCGCCTGTGATCTACCAACATCCTCGAAATCATTTCCATCCTTGGCACCTGCATCATCTTCAGTCTCAGCTTCGCTTGAAGAAGCTCTCAGCTTCACGACCGGCTGAAGCTGTTTCTGCTTCCTTTTTCCATCAGCGCTTTTATCACTCTTATCGCTGTTTTTTCTCGAATGATGCTCTTGTTTTTTCGCCGCTGGTGGAGGCGTGTCTGATTTCGACTCTCTGGATGTAGCTTTGCGTTCAACGGATACTTCACGTTTGTCTCCGGAAGTTGTAGCTCTAGAAGACCTAACAAATATAGGATATATTAAAAATTCTGCTATAAATGTCTGCCCGATCAAACGTTCTTTCTTACTAGCTGTGCCGTGGAAGATAAGGCTGCCACATTGATCCAGTTTTATTCAATTTATTTGTTAACGACTTTTCAGAATCTATATTATGTAATAAGAAATATCCATGATGCGAAACTCATAAAAATATACCAAGTGACAAATAAAACGCAACACCCAGAATTATACTAAGTGACATATAAATCTGAACACCCAGTTTAAATGGTTTTATTTTAATAAAATTTTGTATAAGTACTTGATGAAGCATAATAAGTAAATGATAAAAATTTCAAAATGATTGCACTGCTTTAAAGCCCTTTGACCTTTAATAATGTGTGGATGCACCCTGATGTGCTACCCATTCTCCAACGCGCCTAGGCATGCTTCTGATCAGGTGGTCAATGTCCTCCTGTGGTATCTCATTCCAGGCAACCAACAACTCCTCTCGAAGTGCTTCTAGAGTCTGAGGAGGACGTTGCAAATTGAGCAATCTCCTACCCATCATATCCCACACGTGCTCAATTGGGGATAAGTCGGGAAATCTTGGTGGCCGTGGTAACAATGTGACATCATTATGTTGAAAGAAGTCTATTGTTACTTTTGCAACATGTGGTCGGGCATTATCTTGTTGGAAAGTTGGATCTGCCAGGGTGTCAAGATAGGGTTAAAGATGGGGTTCTAGAACTTCGTGGATATAACGCTGCGCGTTCATGTTACCTCTGATGAAGATTAAAGGTGACCTGGAACCATAAGCTATAGCACCCCAAACCATAACTCTAACAGTGTGATGAACATGTCTTTCAACAAAAAACTGTGGATTCCTCCTTTCACCACGTCGCCTTCCAACCCTGGCACGACCATCGAGCATGCCTAAACAAAATCGAGACTCGTCACTAAAGACAATACTGTTCCATTCCTGATCCCAGAGTGACCGTTGTCTGCACCACTCAAGGCGATTACGTCGGTGTTCTCGAGTTAAAGGGAGGACCCAGTGTGGCCGGTATGAAAACAAGCCAAAACTTCTCATTCGTCGGTAAACACTTCGCATGCCAATAGGTCTTCCGTGTTCTGCAAACCATTCATTTGCAATGGACCTGGTAGTGGAGAAACGGTCCCTTAAGGCCAATAATAATCTTGGGCGGCGATCTTCACGGTCTGTTGTTCTACGGCGGCGTCCAGTGCCCCTTGCTCTTTGCGAACGGCCTTCTCGAAGCCATGCCTGACAACACCTAACCACAGTGTCTACACTTCTTTGCACTCTAACTGCAATTGCCCGAAAAGAAAGTCCAGCTTCCCGAAGTCCCACTATACGGCCCCTATCAAACTCACTAAGTTGACGAAATCGTACAGGTCTCCGTACTCTAGGCATCGTAACCGATCGTAAAGGATGTCAAGAACCAAAATCCGCCAACGTTGATTCTTTACTGCGGCTGAAATATTCATTTTTAGAGGGTTAGTGAATTAAAAAAAAGCAGTATAAAAACCGGAATGTCCAACTGATGAGGCTGAAAATTTTTTCACTTGTTATTTACAGTAAGTTAAATACATTCACCAACTTTTATTAAAATAAAACCATTTAAACTGGGTGTTCGGATTTATATGTCACTTAGTATATTTACTGAATTTTGGTAAAAACTTGTAAACGTATTTGCTATCATGGAAGTATACGCTGATAAAATGTTGAAGGCACTCCGAGCCACACTTTTTTGTAACTTAAACTTAAGGAGGAATATCTCAGCTATTTTGCGAAATTTAGGGTTAAAATTTTAATCACCTTTTTTTTAGTAGACCTAAAACTTGTAAAAGTATGCTCAAAATTACAGCGCTCCTAGTCGGTGTTGCATTGTCTATGTCATTTAGTGTAATTTTTATAAAACTATTGTAATCTGTCACATAAACGTAATGTTTTTTGTCTGTAATGGTAAAACATACGTAAATAAATAGCATTTCATCAAATTTAAATAATCTTCTCGTAGGTTTTGGCGGGCTACAAGAAAAACTACCAGTATCGCTTTAATACATCCATCTCCCTCACACATGCACATGCTATCTGCCTCTGGGTGTGGACGTTTATGTAACCTTACATGCCAAGTTTTTTAGTTGTATCGCGCTGCCTAGAAAATGATCCGTCTTCATCTCTGCTTGTCACTGTTAGTATGGCAACTCACTTGACATGCGCCTGCGATTTGAGTTTACATTTCGTTGACCCCATACGGTGCAGTTAGTTGATCTGTTTACTGATCTATTTCGTATGACATTGATACCTAAAGACAGAAATATGAAAAGATCTATAAATACACTCACCTGCCATCTCCATTTTTCTTTCTGTCATCCAGGTGATTTCTATCTTCTACAGGACTAGCACTCCTCTTCTTACTGCTGCTATGATATTCATCTCGAGATCTGGACCTGCTGTATTTATCTTTCGATGCGGACCTATTTCTTGCCTTGCTACCTTCATCTCTCGAAATAGACCTCTTCAATGCTTCTCTGTTAGTTCTATCCTTCGAGGTAGACATTCTTTCCGGCCTGTTGTCCCTTTCTTTTGAGCCTGACCTCCTCTCTGATTTGTCTCTTGAAGCGGACCTCCTTGGCGTGGGTTTCTGAGACCTCCTGCTCAACCTATCCTTAGAGGTCGATCTCTGTCTTGGTCTAGAGGTCTCTTCAGATGAAGACCTCATTCTTTGCTTCAGCATCTCCTCTACAAGTTTACTTTTCATCTTTTCTATTTCCCGGGACAGTGATCTTTCGTTTCTAGATGAGGACCTGATAGAACCAGATCGTTTTTTATCTCTCGATCTAGACACATCTCTATCCTTTGACAGCGACTTTAACTTTGTATCACGTGCGTTCCTTTTTGACCTTTCTTTAGATACAGACCTCCGTTTAGAATAAGAGCGTCTCTTTTCCCTGGATGATGACCTACTAGACTTTTTCCTATCTCTACTACCATGTCTGGATTTTGTATTAGCATCTTCCCTTGACCTAGACCTCTTCCTGGGTTCCTTGGATATTGATCTCCTGCTTTTATCCTGTTCTCGAGATACAGACCTCTTTCTCGACCTAGATGATTTTTCTTCACCGGAAGCATGTCGCTTCTTCAGTCTTTCATTCTCTTCTTCATCAGATGATGACCTCTTCTTGGACTTCACGGATATGGACCTCTTGCTTCTTGAACGATGCTTTTCCACTTCTCGCGATACAGATCTTTTCTTCGATCGAGGTTTGTCCTCATCTGAAGACGGTGACCTCTTTCTCCTAGGTTTAGATAGTTTCTTATCGATTTCGTCTTCGTTCGTTGGAGATCTTTTTCGATTTCTTTTGCGGCTCTTGCCTCGCCTCCTATCATCTTCATCGTCTGAAGATTCTGGGGTGCGTGACTTCTTCTTAGTCCTAGATCTAGAACAAAAAATCAAGTGATTAGGCTAAGCATTGTATCTTCATCATCGAGTCGCAAAACGTAAAATCTAGGTTAACGACAACCTCACCTTTTATCAGAAGGTGAGCTGGACTTCTTCCTATAACTTCTCTCTGATGACCTAGACTTCTCCTTACGACTTCCTCTTTTATCTCCGGACTTAGACCTCCTTCTCCTCCTAGAACCCTCCTCAGATTCGGACCTCGACCTGCTTCTACCTCTTCCGCGCTTCTTTTTCTTCTCCTTGACCTCAATTGAGACAGATCGTTTGCGTTTCTCCACAGATTCAGACCTCCTTTTGCGTTTACGCTCCGGTGATGGTGAGGTCGACTTCCTTTTTCTTGAGGTCGACCTTGACCTCTTCTTGACCTCATCGTCTTTCCTACGGTGTCGCTTTGAGTAACGGTCGTCCTCATCGGGGTTTTCCTTCCTTTTGTGAGATTTTGGAGACAAAGATCTGTGTCTTGATTCTTCGGAGGAGTCTCTTTTGGATTTCGAATTTTTGGATTTATCTTTGCCGTTCGCTTTGGTCTTGTCCGGCTTATTCTTTCTTGGACTATCCACGGAACTGGAACGAAAAATTACCATATTGCTTTCCCTTTACACTTACATTTTTTTCGAAAACTATAAAGAAGATTTCAACAATAGATAATAAATTTCACGACTTACAAGATGTCGCAAAATCAGAAACAAATTAACAAATATGATTTCAAACTTACCTAGCTCTAGAGCTTTCGGATGACGAGTGCCTCCTCTTTTTCCCATGTTTCTTTTTCTGTGAAAACATTGTACATATGAGGAACAATTTTAAGCGTATTATTTTTTTCGTGATAAACTACAATGATCAATTCACATAATAATCGTAAAAATTCAACTTTTTCATTGATACAATATGCAATAAAACGAATATCACACTTCTAATAAAATTAAATTGAGCAAAATATCAAATCAGTAGACGAACAGCTGGTATAGGGTAAAAAATAATGACCTCCAGGTGCAAAGACAGAGTCAAAAATATTGAACCAAAATGATTTTTATTGTTACAAGATTTTATTTAACCTGACTGTTCGTTAGCATGTTAGTATGTATGTGTGAAATTTAATCTTGGAACTGAATTTTGAACCACTTAACCTTCACCAATCGTGCTGAAATTTTGTACAAAATACAAAATAAATTAACTGTCGCCATTTTGAATCCAATATGGCGATTCATCATTTCCATAATAACCCCTATGATATGGGTATCGAAGAGGGCTTGATGAGAGAAACACAATAAGCAAAGTGACGTCATTCTAAGTCCAATATGGCGGTTGCCACCAAAATGGCGTTTATAAATATAATATTATAATTACCTATCATATAGGTATCAAATTTAAGGGATTTATGACGGAAACATAAGCAACGTGACGTCATTCTAAATCCAATATGGCGTCCACCGTGAAATGGCGATTTATAATTTCCATAGTCACCCTTATCTGTGATTATGGGTATCAAATAAAATGGCCTAATGAGAGAAACACAATAAGCAAATTTATCGTTATATGATGTACAGTGGACCTCCGATAATCCGACAAATCTTATGGAGGGCAGTGTCGGACTATCGAATTTGTCGGATTATAGAGCACTGCCTAAGACCCCCTATAGTCCGGAATTTTTTACAAAAGAGTACCTTGTAATCCAAAAAATTACATATCCAATGGTAAGATTATATATGTTATGTATATGTATGTACTTTGAAGTACAAATCATACATATTTTATGTATGTCGAATTTAGTAAATTAAATAACAATAGAGAGCTTACGTTTTATTCTAAAATTAAGCATAAATGCACATACATAATTACCAAAATAATCAAGAATTATTAATCAAAATCATTAATGAATTTATCAAATTATGAAGCTTGGAAATATTCATCAATTTTTTTTTTGTTTAAGGTTGTTATAACGCGAGATCCGAGCTTTGTCCCTCATTCTTCTCAAAAGTAAAAGTTCGGTTTAGGATGTACCATTCTCTTGTCAACCTAGCTCAAAGGCGTTAATTGCGTCTTGTGCTGTGACTTGTGGAGCAGTTGCAATCACGTCGTCGTTATTTTCTAGATTGTTTGTTGTATAATTAGAAACCTCTTTTATAATCTCTTCGTCAGACATTTCATGAAAAACATTTTCCTCTTTATCCATTCCACGGCACCAGATTTCCAAATCTTCCGGACTTATCTGTGTTTCAGTAGTGACTTATTCTATAGCTTCCGAAGTATCACTGATTTGTGGAACGTTGCTAGGAGTGGTGACTATATCTGGCCATAACTTTAATAGTTGATGACGGTAACGCATTCCACGACTGACAAAGAGCAAAAACCAAGTCTTTCATATTAAATTCTTTTAAAGTTTTCTCTATTGGTTGGTCTTTTGATACGGCTCTCAGAAGTAGGTTTTTCTTATTTATGCTTGACAAACTGAATGATATTCTGGTCCATTGGTTGAATCAGTGCAGTGCAATTTGGCGCAAGAAACATCGCAGAGATGCATTTATCCTCAGTTGTTAGTTCTTCTTCAGACGGATGACCGGGAGCGTTATCAAGAAGCAACAACGCTTTTTGAGGAAAATTATGATCTTTTAACCATTTTCTAACTTCAGGTACGAAGCATTCATCAAACCACTTTTTGAAAAGGTCTTTTGTCATCCATGCACTTTTTTGTCCGTAATACTGTACAGGTAAATCAATGTTTTTGAATGCCCGTGGTTTATTAGATTTCCCAATGACCATTATCTTAAGCGCGTGTGTGCCCGCAGCGTTAGCACATGGTAGTATGGTTACACACTCTTTACTTACTTTTCGTCCAGGCACGGATTTTTCGTTACAAGAATCGTAAGTTTTGTTAGGCATCACACGCCAAAAAAGCCCTGATTCGTCTGCATTGTACACCTGTGACGGGTCAAGATTTAAATCGTTCACCTTTTGCAAAAATCTTAATTTAAAGGGCTCTATGCAGGTGGCATCGTTAGAAAGTTTCTCTCCTGTAATAGTCATTAAACGTATGCCACGACGACTTTTAAAACGTTCTAGCCATCCTTTGCTGGCCACAAAATCATCTTTTTTTGTTATTTCCTTATACAAAAACTTAGCTTTCATGGCCAACATGGGTCCTGGAATTGGTGCATGCCTATTTCTTTCCTGAAGAAACCACATGTACAAAGCTTCTTCCACTTCTGGATGTTCAGCTTTCTTGAGTGTCTGTCTCTTGCCTGGCACGAACTTCTTGATCTTCTCGTGGTTTCTTTTAATGTTATAAATTGTAGATCGGCCTACGCCGTATTCACTTGCTAAACTACTGAAAGTTTCATTGCGATTTAAGCGGTCTAAAATATCACATTTTTCTTTAATTGTCAATGTTTTGTGCTTTCGCTTCTGAGTTTGTGATGACATTACTAAGTACTATACTTAATACACAAAGAATAAATAGTGAACAATGAACGCACGCTAGGCCGTACCGCTATCACCAGTAGTCAAATTCAAACTAAGTAAAACAATGATTACGCGACAACGGTGGCGCGTACAAGTTATAACCTGTTCAAACCTGCGTGATCTACATTAGCGAAGATTGTCAAATACGTATGTATGTAATACATGTCGGATTACAGGGGGCGTCGGATTAGACAGGGGCCGGATTATCGGGGGTCCACTGTATATCTATCGACATGTTATAATACAAAAATATGGTAAGAAATTCTATGATTTTTAAATGTTAAGTTCATTTTATTAACAGCTAACTAAAAGATTGGCTACACTAACCCCATGATTCACTGATGGATCGACGACTCTACCTTTGCACCTAGCAGCTTTGTATACATATTTTTATACCCTGTACAAATATCAAAAACGAAACAAAATTCACACACTTTGTCTTCAATAAAATCTCCAATCGCTTTTTTAATGTTTTGATCACATGCAGTCGATTGCTATATGTCCCTTCAAGGAGAGTACTTACTAGAGATGGTTGTTCTTCACACTATATCATCCTATGAAATGAAGGCGCAGATTCAAAAAGAACAATTTTTACTTTTTATAATAAATGAACTAAAATGTATACGATGATATATGCAAAATGAAGGTAATGATAATTGTACAGACTTGCCACATTTGTTATAAATAATTATATATTATCAAATAGGTATGTACTGTTTTGAGTTGCCGCAAAATTTTATCAAGTGGATCAACTATTTTAGCTCAAATTTTCGATTGGTCGTATTTTATCGAATTTTTATTACTGCGGGGAAAATTAAAAATATTGCTGAAACACACCTTGTGGTGCATGAAAAAAAGCGACTGAGGTACGAACGAGTACGAAATACGCAGATTTTGATTTTTTAATGTTTTGATGCAAGCAGCCAGCAATTTGAGCTACTTAGTAGACATCACTTTAATCGTAAAATAAACACACTATAACAGAGCTATTATGTTGTGAAATGTTTACAACGAAATAATGTACATTTTTGAGTGTATAATCTGCGCAGTTACTTCAAAGGCACTCAAAGGGGAGGAAGTCCTAGGATAGAAGACAAAGACGCCTGGAAACACTATGTATGTGTAAGCATAATTATATATTTTCTTTTTGGAATTTACATGTAAAAAAAGTGCATACATTGTCGTTTCTCTGTACACCTTTTGTCGAACATCTACACACTTCCTATGAGAATGTCAATCACAGACCAAAAAATTTGACTCTAAAGTCGCATTTTAGATGTTTTGTGGTAGCATTTTTTGGTCAAAACAATGTCATTTATCAGGTAAAAAAAATTAGAAAAACTGCGAATTTCAAGATCATCCGTACCTCAATCGTTTCTTAAGACCCTACAAAGTATGTTTCAACAGTTTCTCTCCTAGGAATAGAAATTCAATAAAACCCGGGCCCAGCGAAGAGAAATGTTTTTAGTGCAAACTTGGCAAATCTGCCTCAAACTAAGGCAGTAAAAAATAGATTTGAGGCCGACATGATCAACGAAAAGCCTGGACAGCATCGCAAGCATCTACGTTCTAGGAAAACGGTCAAACAGATGATAAACTAACCTCTTTCTTGGACCTTTTCTTCTTCTTCCCATCATCGCTAAAAACGTCATCGTTTTCAGAAGAACTCCCCGATTCGGCAGAAGAATCCTCTTTCTTTTGCTTCTTGCGCTTTTTCTTGTCCTTGGACTTTCCCGATCTATAGGAAACACAACAAACCATGTTGTATGCGCAACAGTTCACGCGTTTTCTGATTACGCTTCAAAAATTACACCAAACAAAGCCGTTGAATAGCCATTATGAATTGCTATTAAATGATAAGAATGTAACGTAGGCCCACAGTCGCAGACTGCAGTATTTACGTCAGAAACTTTGACTATGCTTATACAGGGTGATGCTAGTTCTCTGAATAGGTGCAACCATTCACACAACTTTGTTGGTGTGTTAATAAAGAGGCCATACACCGACGATGCATGACATTCAGTGCAGTCTATTTTTCGCGATAAGTCATCACGTCGAAACGTGGCAACAAGTAACAGCTGATTATCTAGTGACATTCAAAATAACCCATAATAACAAGTGACATATAATATTGAAGGATCTCTCAACGTGAAATCAGTAGGCAGAGTCGCGTTTTTATTTAACTTGACTCATTTGTTAGTATGTTTGTATTTATACAGGGTGCTTCAGTTTATTGTTGCATAACTTTAAGATTCGATAGAACTTTTAAAATTAATGCATAAAGTCTATATAAACATGGGTCGAAAAATGCGTGGCTTCCGATTCACTTTCTAAAATAGTTTTTTTAAAATATTTCGAACAATATTTGATGTATAACTGTGTAAATTGGTATACAACGGCTTTTTGGTACGACAAAACGAACCATGGG